CTCGCCCGGCACGTATATCCGGGACTGAGCGCACAAGCCAACGCCGCCGGCGTCCTCCGCGCTGCCCGTGCGGCCGCCGCCGCAGTCACTGAAGATGGACTCGGACTCGGAGTGTGTCGGGGGCAGGTCGATCTCTGTCTGGTCCGAATTGAGCATCATCTTTGCGGAAGAGGGGTGGACAGAGAGACGGACGCTTCAGAGATGTGGTGCGTCAGGAGGACAGACTGACCCAGGCACGATGTCGAAGCAAAACCGCTCTACTTTAAAGAGAAGGTCTCCGGATCACAGCAAGCCCCTGGCTATTCTCCTCCTCTTCCTCCTCATCACACACAGTCTCCGCAAGGGAATTTCAAAATTTTCCCTTTTCCCCGGAGAACTCGTTGGGCGGGCGACAGCTTTCACAATAAATAATGTAAGAAAGATGGCAGGATGCATATAAATAAAATAAATAAATAAATATCCTCTGCGCGCGTGTGTGCACAGAGACCGCGGGCTCTTCTGTGTAGCCGTGGCAGGACCCAGTTTCGGAGCCGTCAGGTGTCAGAGCCGAACTCCTTCCGCGTGCTCTAGAAAACAGAAGCACAGGGGCTCTCAGTACTGCCCGGCTCCCGGCGGACACGAGAGACGTAGCTAGAGAGCACGGCTGTTTGCTCCACCTGCCCTGCAGCGTTGGCCCCAGCCGGAGCAGGGGACAACCCGTCCCCGCCGGGCTGGGATGGGGCTCCGGGTCCCCGGTCACGGGCGGCGGAGAGGGAGCCGGTGGGGTGGCTCTGGGAGAAGGTGGAAGCCATTTCTCCTGGCTCTCCGGAGAGATGACAGGTGGTGGATGAGCGAAGGGGAAAAACAGACTGCGGGGGCGAGAGGAAGGGGGGCTTATTGTATACTAAATGAGCCCGTATGTCATGGATCCTGGCACCCCCGACATATGGAACCCAACACAGCTGCTTTGCTTGATGTGTCCAAATAGACGCTGGCTCCCCGCTCCCTCCGGGACGCTGTGCCGCCGGCCGGGAAAGCTGCCTCTCCTTTCCCTTCTCCTCCCCCCCCCCAGCTTGCCTTCCCTGCGTGGCTCCGGCACGGGGGCCCCAGGCCCGCACAGATGCCTCCGGCACCCGGGGAGCAGGTCTGGGAAAAGGCAGGTCTTGCTGCAGGCGCATCTTCCCCCCCGGGGAAGGGGAAGGGCTGGGGTGGAGCAGGGGAAGGGGAACAAACTTCAGATGGGGAAATGCTCCTGCTGGAAGAGATGGCAGCCTGGCTGGGAAGCCAGCCAGGCAGAGATGTACAACATATTACCTCTCTCAGGCCTGACAAGCTTGTAATGAGCCATACGACTGAGAAATGGAAACTAAACGAATATGGACAGGCGATGACTGGAAAGAAATAGCCCACATCCCGTTTTAAAAGACTGGCGGGGGGCAGAGCCCTTGATCTGTGTTTGCAGAAGCGCTGCCCGAGAAACACAGGGAACCCCGTAAGTGCCTATAGAAACGTCTGCACAGCCCCTCTGAGCCCCCCCCAAATGTTACGTGGCTTCCTTTTCATATGCTTACACAAACACATGTGTACACACACACGTACACATATACCCACAGACACGCTTCCCAGCACATATGTGCAAATATTCCCAGTGCGTTGCTTTCTTACACAAACACACGTGTACACACACACGTACACATATACCCACAGACACGCTTCCCAGCACATATGTGCAAATATTCCCAGTCAAAAACTCCTCTCCGAGAATCCCACGTCCCTTTATGGACAGTTATTTACACCCACGCTCGTAAACCTACCCCAGGTCAGGCCTCTCTGCGTGCACACGCACACACTCACCCTTGCACTGTGATATTCAGGTTTCACTAAAAAAATTAACCTGGACTTTTTTTCTCTCTAACACGAAACCTGTCAGCTCTGCGTGAGAGTACAAGCAAACCATCCAAATCCTAAACAAAAAGTTACTCTTGTGAAGCCCTTAGCCTGGAGATGATGGAAGGGCTGATGGAAACATGGCTTTCAGGATCCATGGAGATGCCCTCTCAAGGCTTTGAGCTCGCAATAAACTACACTGTCCTTAGAGCACGGCTGAGTTTGGTTTTGTGTTTAACTTGCTCTCCCTGCGATCAGCTTCAGAGACAAACCAGCCAGGGACCAAGAACCACGACCTACGCAGGAGTTTGTAGCTCAAGTTCCCGAATTAGCTACATCTGCTGTAGCCATCCACTATAGCCGTGGCTCCTGCCCCTTGTTTAACCTTCTCCATTCCCCTCCCGCTTTAATTTCTTTTTGCCTTCCGCTCTTGCCCCTTTCCTGCAGATCCGGGACCTCCTTTCTGGTGCTCGGTGGCGGAGGGAGCAGTCCTGCCCTGCCGGCTGCTCTGCCCTCAGGAGTAGCATGTCCACGGGTGAACACCACCCAAAGCAAGCCTGTGCCTGGCCGGCGAGCAGCGGCAGCCCTTCATGGCCAGCTTGAGACTTGTTGCCACGGTCGTGTTTCCCTGCGTGCTGGCGGTGCCGCCCCGCTCCCGCTCACAATAGCCGTCCCTGGAGCATCGCTCCCAGCCGCGGCGGCTCCCGGCAGCAGGGCAGGGCTGCTGCTCCAGCCGTGAGCGCAAGCTCCGGAGAGGCTGCAGCCGGGCCGGGAGAAGGAGGGAAGGTTGGCTCTGGGGTTGGACACGTGCCACGGCAGCTCTGCACTTTCAGCTCCTGGGCCGTGGCGAGGAGTCGGTGCGCGGACATCCAGGATCACGCTCACGTGTGCAGCTCCGTACCTGTGCGCGCAGCTTCTCTTTAAATACTCTCCCCCCTGCTCTTGGGGACGGGGAACTGCATTTGATCTCTTGCACTAGCTTAATCGCTCTTCTGTCTCCCTCTTATCCCGGCGCTGCTGCTCTGAAAACAACAGGCCTGTTGTCCTCTTGCTCTGCAAACTCAGGTGCTGCCTCACCCAACCGGGGCCGTGCTGGAGGTGCAGTCCACACGCGGGTGAACCACCCCGGTAAGACACTGCGGAGCGGCTCCGCTGCCTCCTGGCCCCATCACTTCAGCACAGGGCAGGGAAGGAGGCAAACAACCGCCTCCTGTCCCCTCCTAGGACACCAGCACCGAGGCACGAGCGTGTCACTTCATCCTGGAGTAGGAGAGGCTCCAAAAACTCCTTCTCCTTGGGCAGACGGGGATGGCGACCTGGCCCAGCAACAGCCCGGGAACCACTCACTGGTCTGCTGTGGTCCGCAGAGGGCACAGGCTGTGGGACACGTTGCTGTCGCTGTCTCAGGGTCCTTGCGAGTGAATTTAAGGTGTATCAAACACGGGAGGCAGGAGTCCTGCACGGGGGTCTCTGTTCTCAGTTGCAGAAGGATGTCGGCGGGAGACGCCGGACCATTTGCATGCAGACAAGGTTCACTACTGGACCCAGATAAACTCCTTATCCCACTCCTCCTTCGCTGGGAGGAGCCCAGTCCTCAAAAAGCTTTTCCTTCACATGGGTGACTTGTGCTCTGAGGGGCTCTTTTTCACTCTTTCCTTCAGAAGAACCATAAACTGCCATCTTTCCAAATTCATCTATTGCAAGAACCTCGTTTAAACCTACGCTTGCTCCAGTCCTGCCTTCAGCAAAACCCCCGCAATACTTAAACCCCCGATGGGAAGCAATGCTTCCCACCTCCTCGCTTGCCCTTTTCCTTGCGCTCCAGACCAGCAGTGTAACAATTTTTGAAGACTCCCTGGCCACGCAAAGTGTGTCTGAGACCCACTTTTCAGGCCATCTGAATGGAGGTTCCTTTTCTTTTTCCCCCGATCAGAAATCCCCCATGCCACCGCCAAGCCCGAAGCGAAGGATGCGCACGCGGGTTTGTGCGTTAAACCTCGCGCCGAGGTCAGGCCCCCTTCCCGAGAGAGCCTGCGGCTTTGTGCAGAGGGCTACCTTCCCGCACAGACCACGCTGCTTATCTCGCTGTCCCTCTCCCCACCTGCCACGCTGCCATTTCAGCAGCATCAAACCTCGCAGCAACATCCAGGAGCACCGCTCGCCCATCCCCAGGACAGCCGCCTTACCCCCAAGCCGATGACCATTCCCGGGCTCCAGCTTTTCTCTTCCAGCAGGATGAAGCTCAAAGTAATCCAGGGAGGGAGGAACCGCTTGGCTCATCCGTCCATTGAGGAGGCAGAAAGTTTCCCGGGGTGCGCACGGCGTCCTGCTCCACGGGATGGACCTGGGGGGTCAGGGGGAACCGCAGCAGCCTTGGGGCCCAGGCATGCTACTCCTTGGGCAGGAGCGCGAGCGGGCCACCGCGCGTTGAGATGGACACCCCAAGGAGGCATGTGCCCCATACGCTATATATACACCCCAGCCTCGCACGCCGGGTCCGACCCCGGCCGCCTCATTGGCCGCTCCGGTGCTCCCCCCCTCATAAATATTAAAGTCAAGAGAGGGGATGCCATTGGCTGTGCGGGAGGTTGGAGCCCCCGGGAGAGGAGGGAGGTTGGATGTGGTCCTGGAGGGTGGATGGAGGTGGTGGGCTGGGAGGGAAGGCGGGAGGGAGGGAGGAGGGTGGGGGTGCTCCGGGAGAAGGCAACATCTGTTCTCCATGCATATTTCATAAAGGAGAAATAGAGAGATGGGAGCGAGCGTGGAAAGGGGAGAGGGAGAGACAGACAGGCAGGCAAGTCCCTGCGCCGGGGTGGGACGAGGAGCAGCGTCTGCAGAAGAAGCGGGACTGACGGCACAGCCTTCCCGGTGGCTCCCACTGGTGTGCAGCCCCCGCAGCCGCGGTGTGGGTGCGTGTGTGTGAGCTGGGCTGCGTGGCCATGCTGCGCCGGCATGCACGCGTGTCCCTGTGCACGCAGCCGCGCGACGCACGGGTCTGCGGGTGCACGTGTGGGGCAGGCGAGCGCTGGTGGGTGCCTGGACCGCGGACAGGCTCTCCCAGACAGGCTCTCCCAGCAGCAACAACCACCCCATAGGTCCTGCCTGTGAGCTGCTGTAAAATTCACCTGTAGTAAAGTTTGGTGAGGAAAGAGAAAGAAAGTGAAAGAAAGAGGTACCCAAAAGACACAGGTATTGCTTTGAAACACTGATCCTCTATTTCACCACGAAACAATGATCTCTTTTGTGGGTTAGACTTGGTCTCTGCCTCTCACCCTTCTCTGATTTCAAATTCT